AGGTGGATTTGAAGTTAAATTTTGTAGACTTTTAATTGTATCATCTATATATTCATCAATTTGCTCATCACTGGTCCTAGGTTGATATTCATACGTTTGATCCGGTTGATTTTCATAAATCTCTGATTCATTTAAACGAGTACTTTCATGTTCTGGAACATGTTTAATTGTTTGACTTACTGGTGATGGAAAAGAAGAATATGCTATTTTATTATAATCTTTTCGCAGAGGTTTACGCAAAAAACTGAACTTTTCTGATTTCGGTGTTAAATTTTCTTGTTTAATTATTTCTTGTTTCCCCAAAACTGAAACCAGTTGTTTAAGGGGGTCTGTTATTGGTTGATATGTTTTTTCTAAATGAGTTTGTGATTTATTTATATCACTTTTTAAACTTTTATATTTTTTCTTTAAAGCTTGTCTAGCTTTTATTAGTTGTTTCGCTACGCGTGCATCCATTTCAAGTAAAATGTTCGAATACTAAATCTCTTTATATACGTATAAAACTATCGAAATTTTTCCTATATTTACAATGTGAATCCTTATCAATAGTCAGAAAATCATATTTTTTTTGCCAGCAAAATGAACATATATCTATAAACTCTTTAAAAGACATATCGATATTAACATGATCATCGTAAATGTGTTTCAAATTAGTCATATCTTGTGGGAAAATAATTAGAAGATTCAGATTATCTCTTATATACTGCTTCTTAGCTGAACTGTAGGTTTGACAAATATAAATACAATCGGTGTGTTTATGTCGACCATAACAAAAATAACTTTGAATAATTTTTTGATCGCTGGGGGCTACATCATCAAATATAATTAAAGAATTATCTTTAATATCTTCTGGCTGAATTATATCTTTAGATTCACAATATTCTTCATAATCGATTTCTTTAATGGGTTGAATGAGATATTTGTATTTGGGTTGATGAAGACTTTTGGAATACACATATATATTTTCAAATCTTAATCCGTTAGGGTGTTCAATTAATGAAAGCATACAGTTTGTCTTTCCAGATCCACTAGGTCCAACTATTAAACATCTTTTAGAATCACCACTAAACAAATAACCATGCTTATTAAGTTTTTCATCATTAACAATTAAATCATGATTTTTGACTGGTAAAGTCATGTGTTGTTTTTCAACCTTCATTTTAATGAATTCTATTGATGACTGAGAGTATATATAGTGTGGGTGGTAGTATATAAAAAGCATAATGGTTAGACATCTGCGAAACAGTTTACATCGAAGAGGGAAAGGTTTAGTAAATTCTTTGATAAACAAACTACCAATTGAATTACATATTCCGGGTTTTTCCTACTGTGGTCCAGGCACTCAAGTTGATAAGAGATTACAGAGAGGTGATAAAGGCATAAACCAATTAGACGCTGCCTGCAAAGAACATGATATTGCATATTCACAAAGTTCAGATCTCAAATATAGACATCAAGCTGATAAAATATTAGAAAATAAAGCTTGGGAAAGGGTTAAATCTAAAGACGCTAAATTGGGTGAAAAAGCAGCTGCTTGGTTTATAACAACAGCGATGAAAGGCAAACGTAAACTTGGGATGGGTTTAAAAAAACGTAAAACTAAAAAAAGGATTATTCGAGTACCAAAAAAGGGTGGATTTTTACCCTTACTAATCCCTATTATATCTGCGTTGGCAGGGTTGGGTGGAATGGGTGCTGGAATTGCGAAGGCTGTAAATGATGCCAAAACAAATCGTCAACAACTTGAAGAACAAAAACGTCACAATTTACAAATGGAAACTAAAGGAAAAGGTTTATATTTAAGACCATATAAAGGAAAAGGATTGCGATTTAAAAAAAAAATATAAAAAAAAGTCAAAAAACTAATACTACCACAGCGAGCGCTTACAGACATAGATTTAAAAAAATTTGTAAAAATATTGAAAATACCACACTTTAGAGGGGTTTTTATGAGAGATTCCTTACCACCTAAAGTTCATAAATATGAAAGTGGTATTATAAATATGGATTCAAGTAAAGGACCAGGAACACACTGGACAGCATTTACAAAAAAAAATAAAAATGTTGTATATTTTGATAGTTATGGAAACTTACAACCACCATTAGAACTGATTAAATATTTAAATAGTAGTGGGGGTGTAAATATAACTTATAACTATGATAGATTTCAAAATAATTCTTACAAGTGCGGTCATTATTGTTTAAAATTCCTATATAATCAATATAATTTAAAAAAGTTTTCATTCTAAATATTTCTTTATTGAGTAAATATGTCTTTTTCTTTTACGTTAACTGGTAATTCTTCAATTTTAAGTTATGATTTTAACCCCCCAATATATTTAGATGAAAATACTGATTATGAAATAGGGTTAGTTAGTTTTAATAGTTTTAACACAATTCCTAATATTGATAATACAAATAATATATTTGTATGGGGGGAAAAAAATAAAATGAATATATTTAAAGTACCAACAGGGGCTTATGAATTAGATGAACTTATACGTGTTTTAAAAGAACATATGAATGATACAGATAAAAATTCCGAAATAAAAATAATTCCTGATTTAAATACATCAAAAATTTCTATATCAAGTAATCGCATAATTTCTTTTAATAATACAAATTCAATTGCTGAAGTATTTGGCTTTGATGCTAAAAGACTTGAACCCCGTAAAACATATACATCAGATCACCCTGTTAAAATTTTAAAAGTGAATTCCATAGGCATTGCCTGCAGTGTTGCTGCTGGTTCCTATTTAAATGGTAAACCAGTACATATTATACATCAATTTTTTCCGACGGTGCCCAGTGGGTATAAAATAGTCGAATCTCCTCAAAATATTTTATATTATCCCGTAAGCGTTAAAACAATCAACAACTTAACTATTAAAATTATTGATCAAAGCAGAAATCTAATAAATTTTCGAAAAGAAGAGATTACAGTTACCCTTCACATTAGAAAAGTATAATGGTTTTAAAATTTTTCCACCCATATAAAAACTATAAAAGATTACCAAATCAAAAAAAATATAATAGTGCTGTAAAATCAAGAGCAGTAATAACATCTAATAATAAAAAGTTTTTAACTTCTCTCGGATTTAAAGTTTTAATATAATGGATATTCTTAATGTAACAACACACCCCTTTAATGATACCAGTATTGAAGAATGTCAATTTCATAATTATCAACCCTTTATTCCCGGCAAATTAAATTACAATGATGAGATTAGAATCCCCATTCAAGAGCTCGATTCTTATACATTACCATCACAAAGTTTTTTATATATTGAAGGAAAGTTATTAACTGATTCAGGAAATGTACCAACTAAACTAAAATTTATTAACAACGCGATAGCATTTTTATTCCGCGAGCTACGTTATGAATTAAATGGGGTTGTAATAGATTCTGTAAGAGACTTAGGTTTAACTTCAACAATAAAAAATTATCTAAGTCTAAATGAAAACGAAAGTGTTTTAATGCAAAATGCAGGATGGTACCCTAAAGAATTCAAAAAAATTGTTACAGATTCTAAAGGTGTTACAACAGTAGAGATTGAAAAAATATTAGTAGATAAGGATGGAAACTTTAATGTTTGCATACCTTTAAAAATGTTATCAGGTTTTTTTGAAGACTATAAAAAAATTATTATGAATATGAAACAAGAATTGGTATTGATTAGATCAAGTGATGACATCGATAGTGTGATAAGTTCTGGTCAAACTGAAAAACCAATGATTGAATTAAATAGGTTATATTGGTCAATACCACATATAAAACCTAGCTTAAGCCAACAACTTCGACTAACTAATATTAGTAAAAGCAATAAAGAATTACCAATTAAATTTCGCTCTTGGCAAATGATACAATATCCATCCTTGAGTTCTTCGAAAATAAATACGTGGGTAGTAAAAACAAGTTCCAAAATTGAGACTCCAAGGCGTTTCAAAAAAGTAGAAAGGGTAATTTAACAAAAGATTTTAGTAAATTTGACCATTGTAAACTTAATAATATTCGAATATTTTTAAATTCGGAAAGGTATCCATATAATGATTTAAATTTAGATTTTGACAATAATAAATTTGCCACTTTGTATGAAATGTTTGCTAATTTCCAAGAAAGCTATTATGACCTTCACATGAATCAACCAATATATAACCCCATCGAATTTAAAAATAATGCTCCATTAGTTCATATTGATTGTTCAAGACAAAAAGAAGTTTTACAATCAGGTAGTATTGTTTTGAGAATTGAATTTGAAACTGATGAACCAACAACATCAGAAACATCTGCTTTTTGCCTTATTCTTCACAAGAATGAATTTACTTATAATCCAACAACAAAGATTGTTAAACAATATTAATGCGCATGCGTAAATATAGCTATATTAATTTATTTAATATGTCATTAAAAGAAAGACTAGACAGACATTTTTATAATTTACGAAAACTTCAACAAGATATTGAATTTTATAAACAAATGAAAAATATTATCAAAAAAGTTCGAGAATTAAAATTATGAAAAAACTCGTTGTGGATATACAAGGATTTAAGCTGGAAAATAATAAATTTCTTGTAAAAGAATTTGCTGCTTATGACGGTTTTCATATATGTCATTATGTATTTAAACCACCATTTCCTATAAGATTACTCTCCCCTGATTTACACCGACAAGCCACCTGGTTAATGAATAATTATCATTTTATTGATTGGAACATTGGTTTTACTCCAGTACACCAGTTTTGTAATATTTTACAATCTTTAACAAAACAAGTTGATATGGTTTACGTTAAAGGAATGGAAAAAGCCAATTATATCAAAAAACACTCCCTAGCACCAGTATACGAATTTGATGAGCAGCCATCACTTCAGTTAATGGAACCCAAATGTTTTTATCATACTAGTAATAATTGTATTTGTGCTATATCAAATGTTTATTTTTTATATAAAAATTTTATAATGCAATAAATTTTAAAAATATAATATAATATTTTTTATGTAACCCTCACCTTTAAAGGTATTTAAAACTACAACCTTAAATTAATTCCTTAAAATCAATATGTGTGCTAACGATTACTCACGCTTTTTGGAATTATTTGATCACAGATTAAAGTCGTTTGAAAATTGGAAAGGCGTTGTATCTCCAATAGACTTAGCTCTAGCTGGATTCCACTACATTGATGAAGAAGATGTTGTTAAATGTTTTGAATGTAATATTGAAATTAATAAATGGAAGCCTGGTGATGTTCCGATTTTAGATCATTTAAAATTTAGTCCCAATTGTAGCTATGCTAAAATGATGGAGTCTACAAAAAAAATAAATGAAGAAAAATGTTCGTTTTTTCGAATTATTTTATTGTCATTCTTTTTACTATCTGCTATAGATGCATATTTTTACACGTTTATAGTTTTATTATTCATTATAACAATATACAAAACTCTGGAAAAAATTATCATATCTGGTTTAATGACATTTACTCTCAGTACTAAAATTGGCTTGAATAACCGGTCTGATGTTATTGAGACAGATGATGACCTTCAGAGACTGGTTTAATACCAATCACGACAAGTTGTAAAAATGTATATATATATATATATATAATTTATATCAAGTTCTTTAAACTTTTTCATATTACTGAAAATAATAACTTTATCTTCAATATATATATATATATATATATATATATATATATATATATATATATATATATATATATATATATATATATACACATCTTTAAACATTATTGCGTCCGTACAAAAAAGGACCTTGTTGCGTCACCAAGAAAACAAAGAGTTATTTATTATTTGAATGCGTATACTGGTTTATCAATGAATTTAATAGATGGGGCTATACGCGGATTTTTAATATCATCAAATTTTAAATATACAGATTTTCGTATAATTTGAAACATTGTTGCGTCCTTATAAAAAGCAACCTTATCAGCTCCATATATTAGTTACACCATATATTGTTGCGTCCATGCGGTGTTGTCAAACTTGTAGGACGCAATAATATAACGCAACTACATGTATACCTAACAATAACTGAATATCGGATTATTTGCATTTACTTAAAAGAAGTAATGAGCTGATTTGGTTAATTTCAAAATCGCAACATAAAATATGCAACAAACTTTTTTAACTTAATTTTTTACTACTGATACATCAGGGGTAAAATTTCCTCGTGATACCCATCCACATATTGCTTTACTTGTTTTTCTATGTTATGCCTATGCACTAGTGCATAATTACAAATTAGCAAGCCTTTGTTATTATATCTTTGTTAAAAAAAAAAAATTGGGAACACGTGGGGATTAGAGGAGTCAGTAAAGTTTTCCCCCCATAATAATCCTAGCTTTGAATGTTTGACTGCCCAAAAAAGAAGCATTAATATGTTTTTTAGTGTTCATGATATGTATGTGATAGGATTATACAGTTGTAGGGTAATCTAATATTTAGGTATAGTAATCTAATTAAGATTGTCTTTGTATACCACATTTCTGGTATGGCTCTCATCTGCCAATATCACCAGATTACTTACAAAATTGAATAACTAAAAGGCCACCTAAAACTCCATGAGAAAAGGAGCCCTTAGTTTGTCGAGAATCGGTACATCGAGATATGTCGTTTTTATCAATTCAGTCATCTCAACAGTTTGCAAGAAGTTTAACTTTGTTATTTATTTTTATTTTTATTTATTTTTATTTATTTTTATTTATTTTTATTTATTTTTATTTATTTTTATTTATTTTTATTTATTTTTATTTATTTTTATTTATTTTTATTTATTTTTATTTATTTTTATTTATTTTTATTTATTTTTATTTATTTTTATTTATTTTTATTTATTTTTATTTATTTTTATTTATTTTTATTTATTTTTATTTATTTTTATTTATTTTTATTTATTTATTTTTATTTATTTTTATTTATTTTTATTTATTTTTATTTATTTTTATTTATTTTCATTTATTTTTATTTATTTTTATTTATTTTTATTTATTTTTATTGATTTCCTTTGATTTTTATTGAATTTTATTGATTTTATTGATTTTATTGATTTTTATTGATTTTTTATTGATTTTTATTGATTTTTATTGATTTTTATTGATTTTTATTGTTTTTTATTGATTTTTATTGATTTTTATTGATTTGTATTGATTTTTATTGATTTTTATTGATTTTTATTGATTTTTATTGATTTTTATTGATTTTTATTGATTTTTATTGATTTTTATTGATTTTTGTTGATTTTTATTGATTTTTATTGATTTTTACTGATTTTTGTTGATTTTTATTGATCATTATTGAATTTTATTAATTGTTATTGATTTTTTATTAATTTTTATCGACTTTTATCAATATTTATCGATATTTATCGATATTTATCGATATTTATCGATATTTATCGATAATTATCGATATTTATCGATATTTATCGATATTTATCGATATTTATCGATCTTTATCGATATTTATCGATGTTTATCGATATTTATCGATATTTATCGATATTTATCGATATTTATCGATACTTATCGATACTTATCAATATTTATCGATTTTGATTGATTTTTATTAAATTTTTTTATTGGTTTTTACCACCAGGTCATATTTGATCATAGACTAATGGGACCAACATTTTAAAAAACTCGCGTACAAAGCTACAATAGCTTTAGTAAGCTATAGAAAAATATGTAGGAAAAACTGAGGCCAAATTCTCCAAAATGACCACATGGTGATAAACTATGGGGCAAAAGAATTGGGCAGTAGAAGAACCGATAATTGGAACAATCTCTTGGGGCTAAGACTGGCCAAGATACTTCTGGGTAAATATTACAAGAAAAGATCGGAAGCCTGCATCTGCCTGAGCAAGAACAGGCTACGTATTGTAACAGGGATCCTTACCGGGCATTGCCGACTAAAAGGACACCTAAGTAAACTAAGAGTAGTAGAGGATAGTGAGTGCAGATTCTGTGAGGAGGAGGACGAAACCTCCATTCACATCCTAACTGAATGTGTAGCACTCCAGAATCCAACGGCACTATATCTAGGAGGATATCAAATAGAAGTGGGAGATTTACCTAACTTGAAGCCACTTCAAATCCTACACTTCCTTGAGAAAATAGGATTGGAAGGGTCGCTATAGGCATTGAAACATTTCCTTAGAGCAGTGGCGACAGAAGGGGGCACAATAGATCTTTTAGGTCGCAGTGTATTAATACCCTATTCCCAACATAACATAACTATGGGGCAGTGGCGTGGGAAACCAAAAGTGTATTTTTCTATTTATTTTTATTTATTTTTATTTATTTTTATTTATTTTTATTTATTTTTATTTATTTTTATTTATTTTTATTTATTTTTATTTATTTTTATTTATTTTTATTTATTTTTATTTATTTTTTTTATTTCTATTTATTTCTATTTATTTTTATCTATTTTCATTTATTTTTATTTATTTTTATCTATTTTTATTTATTTTTATTTATTTTTATTTATTTTTATTTATTTTTTTTATTTCTATTTATTTCTATTTATTTTTATCTATTTTTATTTATTTTTATTTATTTTTATCTATTTTTATTTATTTTTATTTATTTTTATTTATTTTTATTTATTTTTATTTATTTTTATTTATTTTTATTTATTTTTATTTATTTTTATTTATTTTTATTTATTTTTATTTATTTTTGTTTATTTTTATTTATTTTTATTCATTTTTATTTATTTTTATTTATTTTTATTTATTTTTATTTATTTTTATTTATTTTTATTTATTTTTATTTATTTTTATTTATTTTTATTTATTTTTATTTATTTTTATTTATTTTTATTTATTTTTATTAATTTTTATTTATTTTTATTTATTTTTATTTATTTTTATTTATTTTTATTTATTTTTATTTATTTTTATTCATTTTTATTTATTTTTATTTATTTTTATTTATTTTTATTCATTTTTATTTATTTTAATTTATTTTGATTTATTTCTATTTTTTTTATTCTTTTCTATTTATTTCTATTTATTTCTATTTATTTCCATTTATTTCTATTTATTTCTATTTATTTCTATTTATTTCTATTTATTTCTATTTATTTCTATTTATTTCTATTTATTTCTATTTATTTCTATTTATTTCTATTTATTTCTATTTATTTCTATTTATTTCTATTTATTTCTATTTATTTCTATTTATTTCTATTTATTTCTATTTATTTCTATTTATTTCTATTTATTTCTATTTATTTCTATTTATTTCTATTTATTTCTATTTATTTCTATTTATTTCTATTTATTTCTATTTATTTCTATTTATTTCTATTTATTTCTATTTATTTCTATTTATTTCTCTTTATTTCTATTTATTTCTATTTATTTCTATTTATTTCTATTTATTTCTATTTATTTCTATTTATTTCTATTTATTTCTATTTATTTCTATTTATTTCTATTTATTTCTTTTCTATTTATTTCTATTTAATTCTATTTAATTCTATTTATTTCTATTTATTTCTATTTATTTCTATTTACTTTTATTCTTTTTTATTGATTTTTATTTATTTTTTTAATTTTTATTTTCCCCCTTAAAATAGGAAAATCCAAAAACCATAAATCAAATCATTATTTATTTTTGATTAGTAGCTGTATTTCAAATTTTCATGTTTTTAACTTTAAGAAACAAAAAAATATATACATATTTTCAAACAAATTTTCACCCAATTTCCCCCCCTAAAATGTGAAAATCCAAAAACCCTGAAACACGTCATTAATAATAATTTGTAGTCAGTAGCTGTAATTTAAATATTCATGTTTCTAACTTTAAAGAAAAAAGAGTTTCATTAAAAGCTCCCTCCCCCCATTTCTTCCCACTTTTCCCCTTTAAAGTTAAAATTTCCAAAGATTATTTCTTAACGAAAGCTTACGTTATAAAATAAACCTATGTTTCAAATTTTAGCTTCCTAGACTCAGTAAATTTTCAAGTTTTTACTTTTAAAAACCGATACTCCCATACACACTCTCACCCCCGTTTTACCCCTTAATATGTGAAAATCCAAAAAACCCAAAAATATGTAATTACTTATTTACGAAAAGTCACTGTAATTTCAATTTTCAAGTTTCTGCCTTTAAAAACCTGACACTCCTAAAAACTTACCCCCTTCCCCCCGTTACCCCTCCATTAAATGTGAAAATACATGTCATTATTTATTTTCGATACAATTTCAATTTCCTATCTCGGTACTCTCATACAAACGTTTACTCCTCCCTCTCCTCTAATTATGATGCCTCTGGTAAGAAGCACTAAACAACTTATGCAGCTCTGCAAATATAAATTTTTTAATACAGCTGGAAACATGAACATACTCCAAGTCTAAAAATAGATTACAATGTTGCCACGTTTCGGACGCAATAATATACTTCGTTTATAAAGTGTATACTTGAGTATGTATACTATCTTCGCACCTCTACCGGAGAATCGTTGAACTAATAATATACATTTTCATCTATAACACTAATATTATTGCGTCCACCACCAAATTGAAAAACCTGTACAATCATAAGGACCATACT